AGAGTGATTTCCAGGTCCCTGGCCAGCTCACATCCCGGAGCTTTGCTGATCCGGTTACAGCCAACTCCTCCATTACTCCATCAGCCCAGGTAAAAGGGTCTCAATTTTATAAGGCATCCTGCTGCGCAGAATAAAGGGCATGAGACTCGTAAGACCCTGGTCACAGGGACTCACCTTCTCTGCCTTCTGTCAGGAAGCCTGGGGCTTTCCCTCCCCCTGCCCCCTGGGTGAGCAGCATCTGTGGACTTCGCTCCAGTGAGGGCTCACTGTCTCTGGGGCTTTTAACTCCTCTGCCTGGACTGGCTCCTCTCCTCCCCTCCTCAGGCTGGAACACATACCAGCCCACCGCCACCCCCCCTGCCCACTTTTCCTCCCTCCCACTGGCCTCTCCTCTCACGCTTTCCCCTCCCCGCAAAGTTACTGTTTCCCTTTCCACCTTCCCATGTATTCTTTTGCCCCTGGGCTCTCACTGAAGTGAGAGAGTCTGGGACCAGCCCCTAATTGGGCAAGGCTGGTCTCAGACTGGCTGGAGCACCAGCCTCTGTGGCCACACCCTCCCCTCCCCAAGCCTCCAGGAGACCCCTGTCTTCTGCAGTGTCTTCTGCTTCCTCGGCCTTAGACATCAGTGTCCCCAGATCTCCCCTTCTGTGCCCTCTTCCTCCACTCTTGCCCCGAGTGACTTCATCTATCCCAGGGGACCCTTCAATCCCCAGAGTGGTGGAGTTCAGATCCTAGTCCCGCCGCTTATGGCTCTTCGAGGTCCTGCCTCCTTGGCTGGATGTAACTGGGGCAGTGACAGTCTTATCCCCACATGGCTGTGATGAGGGTCAGGCGACTGTATGTGCAAGTGTCAGCACACAAAGAGCCATGCTCACTCCCACTGTCTGTTGATGGCTCTCAAGGGGCACCGCAGTGGCCTGGGGACCGATCTGCATGTCTTAGCCCATCAGTCTAGTCCCTGTAAAGGGACCAGGCAGCTCTTTCCCAGACGGAAGTCTGAGCCTAGCTCAAACTTCCCTCTTGCTGTTGGCTCAGGGTCAAAATCCTGGCTGTGGCCTGCTAGGCCCTGCCTTCCTCCCCAGTCTCATCCCGGGCCTCACCTTCCTGAGTTCTCCGGCTCTCGTTCTTTGAACTCTACTCTACAATGGGCAGACACCCCATCCTCTGCCGGGACCACTCCTGCCCCTGTACCATCACCTGAACTCCCTAAGGCCTCAGCCATAGTTTTATTTCTCATTACAGATATACCCTTAATACATACACTGATATGCACTGCTTCACTCTCCCTCCATCTTAGTTAGCATGAGTGGATTTCAAGGTCAGATTGCTTAGGTACTTTAATCCCCATTTAAACCAAGACTCAGAGCTGTTCAGAACCTTGCTGAAGGTCCCCCAGCTGTCAGGTAGCGGAGCTGGGATTCAAACCCATGACTGACTGCAGACTAAGGGCGCCAGCATAACAGCCCAGAGCACACCTTGCAGACTATCACCTCGTCCCCGGGAAACCTTGGCATACTCGCCGTCCAGCTTTGGGTCTCATCCCTGTGCCTCCCTATCCAGCTGGTGCCCACGCAACCCTGCTTCTGCACTGGCAAAGGCTCCTCTCCGAGCAACTGTCTGTGCACCTGTCTGCCCCCCTCTTGACCCTGGCCCTCTTGAAGACAGGAACTGCGTGTTTTACTCTACATTCCCCACTCTAGTCTTGGCTCACGCTAGGTGCTCACTACATGCTGAATGACACACTGCTTGGGAGCAACAGTGTTGATCCTCATGGCTCATATTTTTGTTCATTTCGTTCCAGTATCCTGCCTTCATCCTCTGGAGCCCAGACCCCTGACCACTGAGGCTTTCCAGGGCCTGAAAGCCATAGCTTGAGACTTCCCTGAGTTCCTGCCCTGGAACTGGTGTCCTGCGTTTTCAAAGTCTGTTTGTGAGCCAGTATTCCCATGTCCCTATCCACACACGAGAGCGAGAGAGAGAGAGACCTCATAATAACACAAATCTCTGCTTACTGTGCGTTTACCAGGTGTCAGGCTCCCGATGACCCCTTGCACGCCCTCTCACATTTAATCCTCAACAGCCCAAGGAGGCAGTTCCTTTAACTCCATCTCCAGCTCACAGATGAGGAAACCAAGGCACGTGAAGCTTAAATCACTTGCCCCATGCCCACCACCATCCCACTGCCTCTTTCAATTCAACTGGATCTGACTGGCCTGACTCGGGGAAATGGTCCCTCTCTACCAGGCCCTGTCTTTCTGGAAAATATTCATTCATTCATTCCTTTGTTTGTTCACTCATTCCATAATTAAATATTTACTACTGGTGTGAGTCATCGCTCTGGTGAACAAGGGCTTCCCACTCACCCTCTGTCCATGACCCCAGAAGACGCCATTGCCAACATCCAAATTATGTCAAAGCTGCAGTATCCGAGAGATCCCAGAGGGCCCCTTGTCCCATCAACCCGGCGGGGCCCTGACATTTGGGTCAGTGCTCCTTGCCAAGGGTCTCAGGCCTACAAAGTCACCATGGATGCACATGGGTCCCAGATGCCTGCCTCACTGCCCTCCCCCATTGTCATGGGAGACTGGGAGCAGGAATGAGTGCTGTGAGTCTGGAAGTAAAGAGAAGACCCAGAAGAGTCTAGGGGGAGCTGATCTGAAAGGCAGGCCCGCAGGGAGCCTCTCCCCTTCCCTCCTAAAAATAATATTTTATAGAGCAGGAGGGTCAGGAGGGCTACGAAAGGTCACCTGGTCTTCCAGCTGGAAATGTCACTAATTAGATTTATTTGGGTCACAAACTTATTTCTTTATCAAGCAAAGTAGGGCAGCCCAGAAGGGTGGAAAGAACACACGTTTTGGGGTAAGACAGACATGAATTTTACTGGGAGCCTCTCAGTTGCCTAGCTCAGTGTCAGAGAAATGGGCAAACCTCTCTCAGTCTTGGATTTCCCATCTATAAAATGCGGATAAAGATGCCTACCAAGCAGGACCACTGGGATTAGACATAACACAATGTTCGTAAAGCATTCAGTCCCGATGTCTGGCACACAAGAAGTGCTTCATAAAAGCGGCTGTAAGTGTCCAGTGCTCCCACACTGTGAGTGTGAGGGGAGAGAATTGGTGAATTTCATCCTGGTCTCCCCATGCCAAGCTGGCCCCGGGGATCCTAGCCTAAAAGCCCCAACTCCACACCATCATCGCTCCTAAGTCTTAAGCCTCCCTCCTTGAGGCCCCCAACTGGGCCCTCCCTTTCCCAGAAACCCTAGGGGTTCACCGCCTCTCCAGTGCTGCCGGGCTCCTTACAACACAGGGAAGTCGCCCCTTATCTGAGCGGAGACCTGAGGCCCCTGGAAAACAGCCTTTTGCTAGCAATTTGGAACACTTGGAATATGCTCCTAACTAAGCTGGTGGAGGGAGGCTTCAGGCGGAACCCTGAAGCCACGGTGACCCTTCTCTCTCACACCCCACACAAGCAGTGGCTTTCCCTCCAAAGACTTCCAGGATCTGACCACTCCTTCCCTCGACTGCCGTCTCCCTGGTTTGAGCCCCTGTCCTGTCCCCACCAGGGTTCTGTCACAGCTTTCTGACCAGTCTCCCTGCTTTAGCCCTTGGTGCATTCAGTCCTCCTCCAGCCAGACTGATGCTCTGGCAATGCAACTCAGGGACCCTTTGCGCGAAGATGGAGCTGAAAGTGAAGGAAATAGCTCCTGGTTCTCCTACAGTGCAAGCCATAGCGAAGGCTTTGAAGGTCAAGAAGGCAGCACTGAATGGTGTCCATGGCCACAAGAAAAAGGGAAGATCCACATGTCACCCACGCCATGTAGGACAGCCACCCCCTCCGCCCCACCACACTCCCCTCACCCCATCCTGTCACCCAGCGGCGGTCCTCCTAGCTGGTCTCACCTCCTGTGTCAGCCCTGGCTAGAAGACAGGACCCCATCATTCCTTGCCCTGCAATACCTGAGGCAATGCCTGCCCCATTAGAGACCCCTGATAAGGATTTGCTGCAGGAATCAATAAAGTGGCTGGGCAATTGCTCCCTAAGTGCTCACCTGCTCCTCTAGATACTTTGTAATTCTCAGAGTCCGGCTGAGGTTAGGGAACTTGGCTGAGGGCAGTCCTTGAGTGGTGGAGCTGGAACTGGGAGCCCCCCGGGGCCGGACTCCGAACCTGGCCTCCCTGGGCACCATGGAGATGCGGTGAGGAGGGGCCTTAAGGATTCCCTAAGACATAGGTCCTGCCCTCGAATCTAGTGAGACACAGAGAAGCAAATGGATAAATTAAGTAACAGTGCCCGACAAATAACTGGTGCCAATGAATACATTTTGTCATCGAAAGGGTTAGGAGCCCCAACGGCAGTGTTCAGACATTTCTGCGTGGCCCTAAGGAGGTGCCCTTGTTGGACACCTGATAACTTCCGGAGGGAACATTGGAGGTGGACCTTCAAGGGTAGGAGTCGGTCAGGAGCCAAAGGGCCTGGGGAGCAGGAGGAGCACGGAGGGATGAAAAAAGAAAGCGAGCTAAGAAAGCGATCTGGATTTGGAGGAGCTGTGAAAGCCAAGACGGAGGATATTATTAGTGTCAGAATCCCCCAGATAACCCCACGGCCCCAGCCTGGGCTCGGCAGTCGGTGCTGGGGTCTGGCTTGACCCCCCTGACAGACCACGAGGCTGGCAGAGGGTGGAGCCCTACCCCACACAGCGAGCTCGCGGTACTGAGCGGCCAACGCGGGTCCTCCGACCCTCGGTGCACGCCCGCCCACAGCACCACGACTCTCGGGCGGGGCAGGGCCCGAACGGCCTCCGCGGTCCTGTCCTTGGTGACGTCACGCACGGAGGCGGGACAGACTCCGCCTGAGGGGGCGCGGCCCGTTGAAGCCCCAGGCCCCGCCCCGAGAGAGGTCGCAGCAGGGAAGAGCGGAAGTCCTCCCGCCCCCGCCCGCCCCCACGCTCCCTTCAGTCCCTCCCCTCAACTCCGTGCGCAAGGTCGTGTCCCGGAAGTGAAGGGGCCATGTTGGTGGGTGACCCCGGGAGAGATACCGGGCGAGAGGCGAATCCCGAGGAGTGGTAGCGCGCGCAGTCCGCGGGTGAGTGAGGGGAGGAGCGGGGCCAGGGGCCCGGGGCTCGCCGAGCCTCCGCTCAGGGCCGCGCCCGACGCCCCCCAACCTGGCCACCGGGGGTCGCTCCCCAGACCGCTCTGGTTTTCCCCTGGAATGCCGCTCTGTGGCCCCGCCCCAGCCTCCGGAGGCCTCCCAGGGCCCCCCGATCCGGCCTGACCCAGCCCGGGGTCTCCCCATCCCGCCTCGGCCTCGTCCCCCAGGGTCGAGGCAGGAACTGGGAACCGACCAGGGCTCAGTCGCTCAGTTGCCGAGCGACCTTGTAGTAACAGCCTTCGTGTGACAGTCGCCTCAAACCTCATAAAGCACTTTTCCTGTTGATTTTCTGGATTCATCTCTCCCCACTCCCGGGGGCCCTTGGGGCCGAGAGGAGCCCCTCTACAGTTGAGGGGAAAAGGACAGCGACGGTGGCTTGCTCAGGCTCGCGCAGGAAGTTACTGAGGCCAGACGCTGATGGCTAACTGACTTTGGGCCCAAAGTTCAGATTTTTTTCCCAAATACCTCCCCCATTCAGTCTCATTTCTTTATATCTGAAATAGAGGTGATCATTGCTTCCACATAGGGACGTTGATTCTTTTTTCATCCAGCTTATTCTGGGGGGCCTTATATGTGCTGGGAAAGTTTGTAGAGCACCCATGTTCTACAAGGTAAGGCCCGAGCAAATGGTAACTATCCTTAGAGAGGCAGGCAGAGTTGGGGTCAGGAATGCAGCCCTCCTCCTTTCCAGCTGTGTGCCCGTGGGCAAGTTACTTCCCTCTGGGAGCTTCAATTTCTTCCACTTAAAATGGGGATAATGACACTGGGTTTGTTGATAGAGTGAGATGGGACATTCTGTGGGATATGCTTGGAACTTGCATGGTATATAGTATACACCCAGTCAGTGTTCATTGTCATTGTTCGGACCCCTGACCACCTCATGGGTTCCTTAACTTAAATGTGGTAATGGATGACAAAGCGTTTTATAAAGGACACCTTGTACCTGTGTAAAGGTTCATTGTTACCAAAAGGAGATGGTGGCGGTTTATGTGTAACTAAATCTAGTATTTATTGAGTACTTACAAACCAGGCTAGGCCCCACTAGAAATAGCTAATCCTGATCGAGTGCTTAGTATGTGCCAAGCACTATTCTAAACACATTTACATACATTAACTTACTTACCAACCATGTGGGCAGAATACAGTCTTAATCCTCATTTTACAGATGGAAAACTGAGGTAAGCACAGAGGTTAAGAAACTTGGCCAAGGTAATCATCATGAGTGGTGGTGCCAGGATTCAAGTATGGCTGAGAGTCCTTGCCTTCAACCACTCTCGACCACCCCTTGTGGTGAAGTTCTATTACAGATGCTTTACATGGGTTATTTCACACAGTTCTCAAAATAACCCTAAGCGGTAGGTAGGTACTCTTTAATATAATATCATCTCCGTTTTACAACTGAGGAAGCTGGTGACTTTGCCCAAAGTCATATGGCTGGTAAATGGCAGAGCCAAGATTGAAACCCTGGCCCTTCAACATAACCTGTATTTTCCCAGAAGAGGGGATTGAGAGGCTGGGGTCTACTCCTAGACCTGCCGCTAAGTCATAGTGTAACCTTGGTGGGTCTCTGAGACCCAAATTAAGAACTCCTGAATTTTAGATAGTCTCTATAGCTCCTTCCATCATTAATTCTGATTTAGGCTTCTGTTTTTTCCCTTCTGCTTATAGCTTGACGCCCAGCCCCTGCCTGTCCCCCATGGCCCCATGGAGCCGAGAGGCGGTGCTCGGTCTCTACCGGGCCCTGCTGCGCCAGGGTCGAGAGCTTCGCTACACTGACCGAGACTTCTACCTTGCCTCCATCCGCCGTGAGTTCCGGAAAAATCAGCAGCTAGAGGATCCTGAGGCCCGGGAGAGGCAGCTGGAAAAGGGCCTGGTCTTCCTCCACAGCAAATTGGGGGGAATTATTTAGGATCCCCTCCTTTCCCCTCTCATCCTAATTCGAAGGGAAAGAGAACAAAGGTGTCTTCCGTAGACACTCCTGCTCTTCCCCATCCCTACCTCACAGATGCAGTAAGAAGCCTCAGGTAGGTAGACAATCCTATAGGTTTCTTTCTTTTTTTTTTTTTTTTTTTGGATGTAGGGGACCTGGAGAGAGGAACCTCTCTTTTCAGTGACCATAGTCACTAGGATTCAATGGAGGAAATACAGACGTTAACAGAAGTAGGTTTCCTTATTGAGGAAAAATCGGCCCTGAGTTTCAAGCCCCACCAGAACAGAATTATTATCACCATCTTATTTCATGAAACATTTTACATATGAAAGTGTTAGAAAAGATACTGGTTAAAACTATTAGAGCTCAGTTCTAGGCTGGCTCATCCTCCAGTGGATTCAGTTACCTTGTGGGTCAGATCGTACTCTCCAGACATAACTAGATTGTGTTACAGCACAGTCTATAAGGCCAGCATAGTGTGTAGACTGCAAAGGACCGTGTCTGCGTTCAAATCCCAGCACTGCTGCTGATAACTGTGGGATTTAGGGCAAATCACTAGACTTTTCCAGGCCTCCATTTCCTCATTTGTAAAGTGGAGCGAATGGTACCTTTTTTGTCCAGTTATTTTGAAAATTAAATGAGACCGTGCACACACAGCATTTGGAATGGTGCTTAGTAGGTGGTATGTTAGCTCTGTTTACTCCTGATAGCAGTGTATCAAGAAGTCCCGCTCTAACCTAATGAGTATATCTATTTCAGCAACTTTTCCAGAGGGCCTTCTATGGCTCTGGCATTCTGGCAGGCCCTGGGATAAAGGTGAATGATATGGTCCATCAGAGGACTCAGTCTAATGTGGAGATCAACAGGAAGTCATCCCAGTGAGAGCAGCTCCGTACTAGAGGGTCATGTAAAGACCCTTGGACATGGGCATGAGGACAGGATTCTGCCTGCAGTGGGGTGGTGGTAGGGGAATCGTGGGCGGCTGTAGAAAAGGAGACGTTTGAGGGCTGCCTCAAGTGAGAAAAGCTTGCCAGGCAGATGGGCAAGAATAAGCAAATACGGTGGTGGAAACTGTATTTGGTAGTCTGGAAACTTGAGTCTGCTGTGGCTAGGATGGCAGACCTGTACAGCAAGGGTCAGAGTTGAGGCTGGACCAAGTTGGCAAGGACACTGACTCCCCTATTGAAGAGATGGTGACATCTGAGAAGAGGGGGACCGTCACAGCTTTGGGAAGCGGGGGACAGGCACAGAAGAGGGATTGTGGCAGTGGCAGCATGGAGAAGTTGGTGAGAGATATTAGAGGCAGCAGATGTGGCCAGAAAACACGGGGCGATGGAGGGGGTAGGGTGGCTGCCCGTAAATACAGCGTGCACCGCAGTGGGGCTTGGTGACCAGTTGGCTGAGGCTGGAGGAGGAGAAAGGAAAATGAAGACTAACTGAGGTGTAAGGCTTGCCAGCTGGGTGAGGGTGCAGTTTTTGATTGAGAGGGAAAGTGGATGGGGGGAGCGGGGAGCCTTGTGTAATGGCTTTTGGTTCGCCTCAGCCACTTAGGTTGACTGGCAGACTGGCCTTCAGCGGTGGGGGCCCAAGGGAGGGCTGATGCCCATGGGAGCCTGCCTGCACAGGGCGGGGTAGCAGATCTGGAAGGGAGCTAGTGAGTTACTGAGTTTTTGTGTTCTTAATCTAGTTTGACTGTGAGTTGGGTTACAAATCGCCATCACCATCTCCTCAAAAAACCAAAAATAACCCCATAGGGTTAATAGCTCATTTGTGCAATGAACACGTACTAAGTGTCAAACACTGCTGGCCATGGGGACGTGGCAGTGAGTGTGCCGGAATGCCTCCAAGAAGTGTATGGTCTCCTGGTTAATAGAGAGGACATGTGAGCAGGTGGGGTTGCAAGCTACCTGGGACTCCTTAAACTACTTCTCCCCAGCAGCAGGAGCTCCAGGTTCCAATCTTGGAGCTTACTGACCCCATAACCTTGGGCCATTACTTCCCCTCTGCTTCCGTTTCGTCATCTGTAAGTTGGAGAGAACAGTACAACTGACGTCGTGGTGGTGGTGGTGGTCGTGGTGTGAGGAGATGTGTCAGATGCCCAGCACGTGGTACACACTCGGTGCACGTTCGCTGGCCTCACATGTACTCAAGCCAGACAAGTTTAAGTCCTAGGACTTTCTCAAGTAAAATAAGTTGGAATTTTCATAGTTCTGTGCTGTCATCCTGGGAAGCTGTTGGACCACCATGACTCATTATCCCTACTACATCGGGGTAATGAGTATTTCTATTCCCATTTTGGTATCTGGGTAGACAGGTTAAAAATTTGCCTAAAAAGTTGGCGGTGCTGAGACTCTCCATCCCCAGCCCTGCCTGCCATGTTGGTGTTCCTTCTCCTCCTACTTTGTCATCTTTTTAAAAAAATACTTTAACCATTTTTTAGTGTGCAGTTCAGCAGTGTTAGGACTATTCATATTGTTGTGTCACAGAGTTCCAGAACTTTTTCATCTTGCAAAACTGAAACTCTGTACCCATTAAACAACAGTGCTTCTCCTTGCTTGCACTGAGGAGCCAGGCTCCCCCTCCTTGCTGGATGGATTTCTGTCTCCTAATAGGCAAGCTAGTGCAGCAGAACCTGAGTGGACAATGTGCAATGGATAAGCAGTTTCAACTGGAACAAGTTAGTTTTAGAACAAGAACTTTTAGGGGCACCTGGGTGGCTCAGTCAGTTAAGCGTCCGCCTTGGGCTCAGGTTATGATCCCAGGGTCCTGGAATCGAGTTCTGCATCAGGCTCCTTGCTCAGTGGGGAGCCTGCTTCTCCCTCTCCCTGCCATTCCCCCTGCTTGTGCTCTCACACACTCTCTCTCTCTGACAAATAAATAAGGAAAGTCTTTAAAAAAAAAAAAAAAAGGACGAGAACTTTTATCTCCTTGTTGAAGCTCATGGAAGCACTCTCCTCTCCCAGGTCACCAAAGTCTTGACATCATCTGGTCCTTGGATGGGGGGAGCACATTGCTCTAGAGGAGGAAAAGCCTTCTCTCAAGCCTACCCAACTTAATAGTTTTGGTCTCAAGCCAGAATAGCATCAATGTGCATTTTAGAGGTCATTCTTAATTCCAGCTCAGAAGGAAAAATGTAACTCAGGATAGTCTGGATTGCTGACTGCCTTCTGGAAAGTTGACCTTTTGTCCTGTTGATGGAAATCATAAAAGACTTAATGATAGCCAGTTATTCGTGGAGGACTTTTACAGTTTATAAGGTGTTCACGTATAGTATTTTTGTAGATGTTCTTTCCTCGCTACAACCTTATGATTCAGGCCATGCAGGCACAATTATCCCCTTTTCATAGCTGAGAGGTGAAGTAACTTGTGGAAGTCACCCAGCTAATAAGTCAGGGCTCAAAGACAAATACTCATCCTCAGGATTTCTGGCTCAAAAACTCAGGCTCTTTTCCATTATGCCACATCACTGCCTCGTTCTTACCAGTCATCACATGGACCCAGGGAGGCTTCTTCTGGCTTTTGCTTGGGGGGAGGATATCTCCTGGTCCTGCTGCATCACATTCAGGAAGTGCCTGCACCCAGGGGTTCTCTTATATCAGTAAAGGTTCTTTGGTTGTTTTTAAAAAATAAAACTGTGGTCGTTGTTATGTGTGGGGAGCTGTGTAAAGTTCTCCTTTGTCCTGATTGGATTACTCTGCCTTGGCTGAGTTTGATCTTTCTCAGTGGCCACTGGAGGGAGGAGAGTAGCGTTCTCGCCTGACCTCACCTGTAACATAGTTGAACTCTTCTCCCTGGCCTTGCTTGCTCTTTGCATATTATGAAGTGTGGGAACTTACTTCAGTTGGCCAAGTAGTCTCCCATTACGTCCCTAAACCTGAAGCTTCTACTGACTGTAAGAGCCACCAAGGTTATGAACTCTAGTTAGGGATAAGTATTTTTGGACTCGACAGTGAATCTTCCTTAATAACTCCATTGCTGAAATAAATAGAGTCAGAAATCTTTCTTTCTTTCTTGGGGAGGGGGAGGATAGAGGCAAGGGCATGTGAAGCCAGCGATATCCAGCTGCAGTGGTATTAGAAAGAAGGTTACTTACACTGGAGAACGCACCCAGGTATCCTGTCTCCCCTCCCGTTCTGGGTGTGTTGGGGCCCTGGCTGGCATACAGCTGGTTTTCCCTGTGTAACTCCTGGTGAACGGGACACGGGAGGCAGGGGAGAGTAGCAGTGGTGGGAGCAGCACTCAGATCTGAACCACTTTGCCATCCTTTATCTGTGTGGGGCCCAGGGTTCTAACTTGCTGGGAATTGGGCTTATTTGGGGAACTTCAGTCGAGATGACTCCATTGTTGTTGGGGAGTACATGTGCACTCCCCTTGCTTGAGCGCTGGACGAGAGGCCAGCCTCTTTGGTATGGAGCCCATGAACTCCCTTTGAGGTGACCACATTTTTAGTTCATTTTCCAAGTGCATTTGGGCAGATGGGTTTTTTTTGTTTTTTCCCCCCGGTTAACAGCCAAGACTGCAGCGTCCTTGGCATTTATTCTCAGTGGCATGGTGCCAGCCTCACCTGAGCTTCTTGTAGCCCTCCTGAACACTTTCCCCAAGAAGCAAAGCATCTGTCAAGTGGGAGTGTCCACAGAGAGTTATTTTTCTCTTCAGACCTTTCTCATGTATGGACCTGAGGTTATGTCTCCGTGTGCAGTGGTCCGGTCCGTGTTATCTTGTGGGGGTTGTTTTGTTTTGTCTTGTTTTTTTGCAGAAAGTAGAATAGGAAAGTTTGCTGTGGGTAATTATAATAAACATGATGTGGTAGGAAAAGCATCATACTGGGAGCTGGGAGTCCTGAGTTCTGGAGATGGCTCTGCCATTCCTTGTCGCTGGGACCTCTGGCAAGGGAGGGAGTCACCTCCCTATGGTGAAGTGACGGCACAGGACTGGATGAGCATCTTCTATCCTAATCTAGTAGATGAGACCTTCTCACATCTCACCTTATAGGAAGTAGTAGCCAAAGGATCAAAACACGATCTACATTATACTGATGGGGAGGGAGAGGGTTGAATTGCATGGGCGGGTACTTCACACTAATATAAGAAAGGATTGACAGTGAGCTAAGGCTTTCTAGTTCTATAATCTCAGTAGATTGGTGGAGAGGTTTTTTTTCACAATTAGCGTGATCCACTCTTCCCCCTCGCATGCAGATACGCCATGGAGCATGGTGCCTCTGTCTTGACCCGAGAGCCTGCAGCGCTAGAGGCAGGAGGATTTGGGTCTCTGGCATTCACAGAACACCTTGTACTTGTTGGGGGCTGGCCTTCCGAGGGAGAGCTGGGGGATGGCTCTCGAAGTCCCAGGTGGTGATGGCTGTGTTGTGCCTTTGTCCTCAGGTGAACGATGGCAGGCTCTGGTGAGCGCAGAGGCAAGAAGGATGACAATGGCATCGGCACGGCCATTGATTTTGTGCTCTCCAACGCCCGGCTGGTGCTGGGGGTGGGCGGAGCGGCCATGCTGGGCATTGCCACACTGGCGGTTAAGCGGGTAAGTGTGTGCGGCCGGGGCAGGGGTGGGAGGGGGGCTGAGGCTGCCTTTGCAGAGTGGAGCTGACCTGGAACGAGACTCTGATACTGATGGGCTGATCATGTGGCATTATGAGATGAGCCGTGAGGAGAATGCACTAAGTCCACTTCTAGGACTCTGCCCTAAGGAAATCGTTGGAGACACAAATAGGTCTATCCCACCGAGTAAAAGATTGCAAATAACCAAAATACCCTTCCTTAATTACCTTATTTAAAATAGCAACACTCCCACCACATATACACTTCCTACTTCCGTTTCCTACTGTATTTATCTTAACATTTATCTCTGTCTGCATACTTCACATTTAACTTGTTAATTATGTATTACCTGTATCCCTCCACTGGACTGGAAACTCCATGAGGGCAGGGTTGGGTCTCTTTGGTTTACTGCTTTATTCTGTGCGCCTAGAACAATGCCTGGCACACAGTAGCCACTCAGTATCTGTTAAATAAGTGAATCCGTGTTTAACGTTATGGTACATTCGTAAGGTACAATGTTGTATAGTCAGAAAAGGTACTGTAATGTTGAACACTGGTTCATTTTTAGTCGCATGGGGAAACGATAAAAGTGATCAGTGAAAAAATCCAGTTCCAAAAGTATACATAGCGTCAGATCCTAATTATATAAATATATATTTCCAAAAAGAACTAGACCAGTATATTAAGTTGTCTCTGTGTTGTGACGTTATGGTAGATTAGTTTCTTATTTGTATCATTTAGTATTTCCTAAGATTTTCCACGTGAAGCAAAGTATTCCATAGTCTAGAATAAAACAAAGTTACTGAAAAATAGTAGTTGAACTCCTGAGGGCAGAGCTGCTGGGAAGAAGGGAAACGGGCAGGAAGCTACCTATGCCGGGCCTCTGCTCTTTCAGATGTACGATAGGGCGATCAGTGCCCCTACCAGCCCCACCCGCCTGAGCCATTCAGGGAAAAGGAGCTGGGAAGAACCGAACTGGATGGGCTCCCCCCGGTTGCTGAATAAGGACATGAAGACAGGCCTGAGCCGGTCCCTGCAGACCCTTCCCACAGACTCCTCAGCCTTTGACACAGGTGAGGAAAAGGCTGTTACCCCTCTGGGACTTCTCTCTGGGCTCTCAGTACTACATCTGCCTTCAGCAAATGTTTCTTGAGCACGTGTGTGCCAGGCACTGTGCAAGCACTTGCCTTTTGTGTCGGGCCCTTCTTTCCGGGGCCAAGGCAACTATGGACTAAGCAAGCATGGGAAGAGCTCACGTGCCTCTCTCTCTTGCCTTGGCAGATACATTCTGCCCGCCCCGGCCCAAGCCATTGGCCAGGAAGGGCCAGGTAGACTTGAAGAAGTCACGACTCCGCATGTCCCTGCAGGAGAAACTTCTTACTTACTACCGGAACCGGGCAGCCATCCCTGCTGGCGAGCAGGCTCGGGCCAAGCAAGCTGCTGTGGACATATGTGCCGAGCTCCGGAGCTTCCTGCGGGCCAAGTTGCCTGACATGCCACTTCGGGACATGTACCTGAGTGGCAGCCTCTATGATGACCTGCAGGTAACAAGGCGGTTCCCACGAAGGGTAGGGTTGGGTGCTGACCGGGATGCTTCTCAGGAGTGTTGTTGGTACCAAAGATCAGCATCCCAGGCTTGCCAGAAAGACCAAGGTCTTCCTGCTTCTGGATTCTGCCCACTGGGGTAGCACTTGTTGGGTCTTCTTAACCCTTTCTTGTTCTGACAGACTTTTTTTTTTTTTTAAGATAACTTATTCATTTAACAGAGAGAGAGATTGAGCACAAGTAGTCAGAGCACAGGCAGAAGGAGAGGGAGAAGCAGGCTCCCCACTGAGCAGAGAGCCCGATGCGGGGCTCAATCCCAGGACCCCGGGTTCATGACCTGAGCCGAAGGCAGACGCTTAACCGAGGTCTGAGCCACTCAGGTGCCCCTGACCGATGTGGGTTTAAATCGTCCCTCTATCTGAATTGGTAACAGTGACATGAATGAATTCGTAGTTTCCTTTATTGTTGGGGGAAAATGAGATGGTGGGACCTGTGTTTGGGAATGCTTGTCTCTTGAGCAGATTAAGTCCCTCAAAAGCTTTATAATCGTGCCCCAACAGGTGGTGACAGCGGACCACATCCAACTCATCGTGCCCCTCGTCCTGGAGCAGAACCTGTGGTCATGTATCCCTGGTGAGGACACCATCATGAACATCCCTGGCTTCTGCCTGGTTCGTCGTGAGAATCCAGAGTATTTTCCTCGGGGTAGCAGTTATTGGGACCGCTGTGTCGTAGGGGGCTACCTCTCCCCAAAGACAGTGGCAGACACGTTTGAGAAGGTAGTGGCTGGTTCCATCAATTGGCCAGCCATAGGGTCCCTCTTGGACTATGTGATCCGACCAGCACCACCCCCGGAAGCCCTGACTTTGGAAGTGCAGTATGAGTGTGACAAGCATCTTGTCATTGACTTCCTGCCGTCAGTGACCCTTGGCGACACCGTCTTGGTAGCCAGACCACACCGGCTGGCGCAGTATGACAACCTATGGCGGCTGAGCCTGCGTCCCGCAGAGACGGCCCGCCTACGGGCTTTGGACCAGGCCGACTCGGGCTGCCGGTCTCTGTGCCTCAAGATCCTCAAGGCCATATGCAAGTCCACTCCGGCTCTGGGCCACCTCACTGCCAGCCAGCTCACTAACGTTATCCTCCACTTGGCCCAGGAGGAGGCTGACTGGTCTCCAGATATGCTGGCAGACCGATTCTTACAGGCCCTGAGGGGACTCATCAGCTACTTGGAGGCTGGAGTCCTGCCCAGTGCCCTAAATCCCAAGGTGAACTTATTTGCAGAGCTCACTCCTGAAGAAATAGATGAATTGGGATATACTCTCTATTGCTCACTCTCTGAGCCGGAGGTGCTGCTGCAGACGTAGGGCCGGTGAAGGCCAAAGTGGGCGTCAGGTGGTCAGACCCTGGCTTCTCCCTTAGAAACACGTGGCTGCATAGTTGGTGCCTCACAGGGTCCCTAGGTGCCTCCTGTCTTGCTGGTCATCGCCCCGGTCACTTCATGCTCATCAGAATGCCATCTCCTTGTGTCCTGTTTTCTCACCCAGCCCTTTCTGTTTTTGTTACCAAACACTGTGCTCCTGCTCCTCCGCTCCTCCTTGCTCCAGGCTAATTTTTCTGGAATGAATTGAGAAGGTGGAGCACTGGCCTGAGCTCGTGTTTTGCATTGTGGCCCAGGTTTTCTGTTCCTGTCTGCCCTGCCCTTTTGCCTGTTCCTTTTCAGTGTCTTCTCTTGTCTTTTCCTCTTGTTCACGCCTTCTGTTTTGCTCTTTCCCCTGGAGCATATCTGCCTAGTCAAGATGTTGCCTTTTCCTTGAATGTCACTGGAGAGTTACGATTGCACGTTTCCAAGCTGAGCTCTGCAGAGTGAGTGCTCAGACAGTATTTAGAGTTTCTGGGGGTAAAGCTGGTGGAAGAGCTGGCCTTTGACCCAGGTTCCTGGAGAAGAAGCCCATTTCCCCCGCCTCCTGACCAGCTCCAATATCTAAGTGCTGAGAAGGTCTCATGGGAACACTTATTGACCCACACAGGAGGGAGGCTCAATATAAACTGGATGCCAAGTTGTTTGGAGATTGTGTTCTTTGGTGGCCACCAGAGAGACTGCAGTGGGGGAGCCGGCGGTGGTGAAGAGGGCCTAGGGAAGGGTGTGTGTGCCCGATGGCTGAGCCTCACCCTTGGCTGGTCCAGATCAGCGCTGCTGTGTGAGCAGCCGGGGGAAGATGGGGAGGGAAGGGGCTGTTGGGACAGCACCTGTGCACGGGTGCTGTTGTTCAGCCCCTTCCTTGCCTTACTGCCAATTAGGACAAAGCCTTCAAGGACACAGCCTTTGTGGTAGAGGTTGAAGGGAGGTTGACAGGCAGCAAGCACCAGCTGAAAAATCCAGTCACCGGTTGAGGCTTGGCGACCGTGTTTCTTCCCCATGAGGCCCTGCCTTTCCAGGACGTTGCCTGAGCGCAGGAACAGGCCCACAGCCAGCCTTTCATTCCCCAGTGTCTGCCATAGGAACATGAGGGGGCGTTTGCTGAACTCCCCCGGCCCTGCCAGAGGCCAGAGGGCAAGCGGACCTGCGCTGACCTCTTTCCCGTCCTGTCTCACCCCGCACCTGGGGAGACTGGTGCTACCCAGGAAGAGCGCGCGTGGGTATAAGACATAGCAGAGGGATGTGGGGCTTCCTACACTCCCTCTGGTTTCCTGCTGCTAAAACTGCACTGTGTGTTGCAACGACAGAGGTATCCTGACGGGGGGGGGTGGGGAAGGTTACACACATCGTCAGTGCGGCTGCTTGTTTTGTGCTTTCTTCCTGTTCGTGGCAAGAAGCCAATAATAATTCTGTTTCTGATCTGCCCATCCAGTATTTTGTTCTCCCATCAAGTTTTATTTTTTCTCTTCTTACTACCTCTCCATCAGTGAGATTCTGGTGAAGCCTCCCCCAGCTGTCTCATTCCTTCCCAATGACAGCAGCATGAAATGACTGTCTAAATAGCATTGAAACCTCAGCTATCCTTTGAATCTAGGGTAGAGATTCCTGTACCCTTTTTGTCATGGATTAGGAGGTTGTGAACTAGGGTTAACCTTGGCTATATTGGGAAAATTTTCCTGCTTCTCTCATAGATCTGCAAAGGTTCCTTAAAGTGGTTCAGTTGCCATTTGTATGAAGCCATTGAGAGAGAATGAAAAATATAAAGCCCAGAACCCCAAGAAGAGATCCTCCATCCTGGCTGTTCATCAGAATCAAATTAGAGTTTAAAGAAAATCTCTGTGCCTGAGTGCTACCCTAGGTGACTGGCGGAGAGGGTACGGGGCGGGACCTGGCATCGAAGGTTCCCGTGCACCTGTCTGGTATCCATTAGAGGGAAGGGGGGAGAGGGGAGGTTGCAAAAGCATGGGTTAGTCTTCGTTGAGATAAAGGATTTGGTTTTCCTAATGTATTATAGGACCTAGTTTTCCCAAGCTGGCATCTCTGACCAAATTCCATATAAAACATTGGAAGGAGAGCTGAAAAAAACAAGCGGTTTTAAAGATGAAGTCCCCAATTATCAAAGCCAGGTGTAACTGTGGTTTGATTTTATCTCCTTTCTTAAAAGAGCATCTTTCTAAGGGCATCTCTGTCTCTTAACTGTGTTTCACAAAACCAAAAACCGTAACTTTCCCATTTCACAAGCAAGAACCACCCGGAAGTCCTCAGAACTAGAAGCAGTGGGAGTTCTTGGCCCTGGTCCTGGTGGGTTTGCTGACAGGCTGGGCCAGCCTTGTAAAACATGGAAGATAGTCTGGTGCTTGGAGGTTCTTGGATGGAAGAGGGCAACATTCTGCCCCAACCCCCACCCCCCGCTCCGCCCCCGCCGTCCAATTTTTTTAATCTTTGGGGAAGGACGTTGTGCCTCTCCCTGCCATTCTGCCTTTCTACTCTTAAGTAACTCCTACCTTTGCCTGAAGTTTTTTGCACCATCTAGGTTAGCAAACCATGAGTTAGCCTAATGCTTAAAAAATGTACTCATTGCCTTGAAAGCCTAATCAATTCCAAAGCGTATTTTGGTTTCTTCCCTGTTGCCCCGTCCTAAAAAATGAGTTCAGGATAACAGTATTTTATATGCTTGGTTGTGACTTTTTTTTCCCCCCTCAAATAAATAATCAAAAACTAATGTCTGGAGAAACTGTGTTGAGGCCTATAGTCTTTCCTCCTTGGTCTCAGCCCCTGGTGGTCACCCTGTTCACACTCCAGATTAGCTGGTTTTGCTCCCTTGTACTCCACTCAAGTTGAGAATTCTCATTTTTTTTTTTTAAGATTTTATTTATTTGAGAGAGCACAAGCTGGGGGAAGAGCAGAAGCAGAGGGAGGGGGACAAGGAGGTTCCCAGCTGAGCGGGGAGCCGGATGTGGGACTCAATCCCAGGACCCTGAGATCATGACCAAAAGCTTTTTTTTTTTTTTTTTTTTTAAAGTAGGCTCCACGCCCAGCATGGAGCTCAATGCAGGGCTTGAACTCAAGACCCTGAGATCAAGAGCCAGACGTTTAACCAACTGAGCCACCCAGGCACACCTTGAGAACTCACATGGTTTTGACAAGGAATCAGCTTCAGGATCACAAGGTCCTGGAGAGGCCCCAGGAGGAGTTCTGCAAGTAGGGAACCCCACATGTGTCTTAGTCCTCTGCCGTGGTACATCTTCCTTGATACTGTGACCCTGGCTGAAAACTGCTCACAGGGTTGGTTAGCACTCTGCCCTTCCTGCTAAAGCTCAAGGCCAAAGAGAATGGTAAGGACACCTGGGACTAGAGCTGTCAGGCTGTGGCCCTTTTACACACTGCTGATTCTAAGTGGCCAAAACACCAGATGTGGGTTCTGAGGCTGTGTCCAGCGTGTTTACCTTTTCATTCGGATCACTTTGTAGTCTTTAAATTCTTGCTCCCTGGGTGCCTGGGTGGCTCAGTTGGTTGGGTGACTGCCTTCGGCTCAGGTCATGATCCTGGAGTCCCGGGATCGAGTCCCGCATCGGGCTCCCTGCTCAGCAGGGAGTGTGCTTCTCCCTCTGACCTTCCTCCCTCTCATGCTCTCTCTCTACCATTCTCTCTCTCTCAATAAATAAATATCATCCTGCTTCCTCAGAGGCCTCCTCTTCCACCCCATTAGTTTTAAGATAAAAAATCTTAAAAAAAAAAAAATTCTTGCTCCCTGAGGCCAAGTCCACAACTTGCCTTCTAGTCACTTGCCTGCCCTTCAGTAGCAGTGGATGCATTCAGCTGGTAGATCTGGAATCCGTCACTGGTCTTTCTCTCCCACCTTGGCTAGGTCCACATAGAAGCAGCTTAGCCCTGAGACCCAGAGAACTGCTATGTTTTTTCTCCTTGACGGAGGAAATAAAGCTGGGGAACATGAGGACCTTCCACAGCATGGAAAGAAAAAAAGTCTCCTTTCCAATAGCTTTGACTTCTGTGTGTGGTATGAAACATTTTCCTACAGGAGTGATCCTGCTTCTCCATCTTCAGCCATGAGAACCTTTTAAGTGCTTGATCTGGGTCTCCATGATAGAATGGATGGGACAAGCTGCCACTGGAGTCATTCATCTGTGACCTCCTGTGGTGTCAAAACTGGGGCAATATTCTGCATGGTCGTCCGTTAAGGAGGCACTGGCAGGTCTCCTGATACAGCAAAAGGAGGACGTGCCCCAGGGGTCCTTAGTTACACCTTGGAAGACTTGTGTAATGGCTCAGAGATACTGCCTTTGTACTGAAAGACTAGACAACTTCGTTTTATCTTGACATTTGTGATTCTCCAAGGCAGTAGAAAAACCATTCTTGTCCCAGTATGCAGTGTACTTTGCGTGTACCAGTTGTTGCTGGTTTCATTTCAGTCAAGAAGAGGAGGCCTCTGAGGAAGCAGGATGATGTAAGGAAGTTGCGGAGTGGGGAGTTCAGCATCAGAAGACCCGAGTTCTAATAATGGTAATAATAGCAAACCATTTATTGAGCACTTACCAAAGGGACACCTGGGACTAGAGCTGTCAGGCTGTCAGGCAAAGCTCAGGGCTTTCCATATATGATCTTCATTCTAAGGATGAGGATACTCATCACTAGCCTCATTTTACAGATGAGGAAACTGGCTCAGCAAGGATAAATTGCTTAACCAAAACGTCTCAGCTACTAAATAGAAGAGCCAGGATTCTTGGGTTTGCCTCAAAAATTTGTCTTCCAAGGCCTGCCCCATACTGCCTCCACTGGCAACTGTGTGACTGGGCCACACACCCCACCCCATTAGTTGTTTGGCCTAAAGAAATCGTTGGGCTAGCTAGACCGAATCAAAGCAATGAATGGTTTGTAGTTATCAAAGACAGTGTTTCCCCAATTTTTTGACCTCACCGCCCTCCTACAGATACTTCAATGGCCCACTGAAATGGAGGCAGAAACAAGGTTTCTGCCCCTACAGGCCCCGACTGTGACGGACCCGGGAGGATGATGGAGACCTTTCTTGGCACTCTTCACAGCTCCCCAGGAGAGAGCAAGTTGCAGGCCTTGAGCTGGACTGCTGCTTCCAAACACGAACCTCCGCGAGTGGGCCTGGGTTCTCAAGCTTCTCCCCCCACATTAGCGCCATTAGGCGGACGTGCTGGGAAGTGGTTAGGCTGGATACACCGGGCAGTTGCAGAATTGGGAGAGTGCCAGACAACCAGTTTTAACAAAATCTCGTCAGGGAATTGCAACTGCATAAACCAAAAGAAGCTGCCCTGTGATAGACTGAATACTCTTAATAGAAGCAAACATTTTAGCAAGCTGAGTATGTAAAAATACCCTAAATTGGGCTAGAGATGATCTATCTTCCCGTGAGAGTTCACGGTAAGGATGCAGAGTTGGCCCTTGATGGTAGGTGCGCGCGGAGCGTTTGAGATCCCGACTGAGGTCTTCAGTCTCCCCTTTCAGCTCTTTTAAGGGCTTGCGTGACACGAAATGCCACTTCCTTTTGCCTAGTTTCGGCCTGAACTTGGTCGCTAACTCGGAGCTTGACGGAGGGCGACAGGAAGGGACCACAAGGGCCGGGGCCTGACGCGACCGTTTGGGACTACCCAGGTTAAAGCAGCCCGGAGAAGGAGCCAGGACAGTCACGGACGGCTACGGGTGTGCCGAGCTGAGGAGGCCAGTGCCGACAGGGCTCAGAGACCGGGCAGTGCAGGACGGGGAGACCGCACTGGCCGCTCCACCCCTTCCCGCTCTGACCAGGCGTCCCTCACCATCAGCCCGCCCATGTCGG